GTTAAAATTTATTTAATCTCTAATAATATATTTATTATATTATTTTTAGTTCTTGATCCTCGAATAAAATTAAAGTACTATCGACAACAACAATGGGAACGAGAGTTTATCGATGATGCATTAAAAATTGTTAGTGATACGTACAATAAGTATTACCGAGATAATTCTTTAGTTGCTAATAATCCAGCTCAAGATCAAAATAAAAGCAATTTTTTTGGCTTGTTCGAAATAGGTAATGATTCTTCTGATGAAGATGAACTAGAGGAATATCTTCGAAAACCTGTGGTTAATTTTAAAACTAATCCACTACAATAGTGAAAAGTAAGTAAATTTATAGCGTGTAGCAATTTTTTTATGATATATAGTTTAACTAATATAACTATGTGTATTACAGCATCAGGAAATTTTTTTGGGGGATATATAACGATATATATCTTTTTATCGTTATTTATCATTATAAAAATATCGATGATCAACGCATTAAGATAAATATTGATAAATATCTGCAATATTATAGTGATATTTAACTGAATCAAAATTAATCACTATGTTAGTTAACGATGCAGTTAATTATTAAATATCATCACTATGATAATTGACGATACAGTTAATTTTCAAAATTAATCACTGTGATAATTGATGATGCAGTTATTTATTATCATATATGTTTTAAAAAATATATATATTAACGAAATATTCATTTTCACAATTTCTTCTTAGTATAATGTAAACTGTCATATCTACTGAATCTAAATAGACGCATGTATAATGATCGGTTAGCCAAAGTCTTAGATATCCATATATTTCTTTATCGACATTATCATACTATCGTAATAAAATGAGATTTATTGAATCTTTATCTTTTTCAGTGAAAAATTCCAATAATAAAAGTGCTTAAAAGATTAAGTTAATGACGTTAGACATTATATAACTTACAGAAAAATCTTAATAAAAATCATAAAATATATATTGATATACAGCACCTTTCCATACCAATCGTTTTCTTCAGAAGAAACAACTACGTCACTAAACTACTCGTTACCATAAAAATTGCCTGCTGTTCGAATAATTTCGGTTGATTCAACAGCTACACTTGAATATATCTTGAAATATCCAAATTCATCACAAGTTATGTCATTTTCAGCTAAAAATTCTTCAAAACCTTCATGAAGATGATCAAAACCTTCTTTATATAAATGATGGATATAGTCATCTTGCTTTATTTGAGAAACTTTTGATTCAATCTTACTAACGTTTAATTCCCATAGAAAATTTCTAAAACCATTGGATCTTTTGGTTTTATATCTTACCGATGTTCATTTAGAGGCCAAAAATTTACACTGTACCTATTACATTAATTGAATTTTTAACAGTTAATATCAATAATGATAAACTGAAGTAGATATAAATAGTAGATTATATAACATACCGTATTTAACATCTGCGGGTCATAATTCTTTTTGTTTGTCATTCGATACAGATTCTTAACGTTACTTTTATGCAACGTTTCGTAAGTTTCCGTGGACATGCCGTTCACTAAACCATAATGGCGAATCGATGGAACTACATGATAGCGAAGTACGTGAAGTTTTGGAATTTTGCAGTGACTTGGCGAATATTTATAAAAGATTATTACAAATTCTTGACAGAATTCAGTTATATACGTCTAAAAAAAAAAAAGTTTATTGATATGTTTGTTTATCGATATTTGAATGACTGAAATTTAACATTAAAGATATTAATTATATTACCTGCAATTCTGCCAATTCCATATCCGTAAATGATTCCTAACGCAACTTCATATACATCTTTAAATAAAGACAAAACATGCTACATAATCTTTCACATAGTATTCCTTCTTCTTTATAATCTTCGTATAAATTATCTGTAACAAATATAATTACTTTCATTATATTGTGATAATCATTGGCGGTGAATTTCAAAATATTTTCCAAGCCGTTCTTCAAAATTATTAAGCCTGAATAGCGTGGAATTTCACATAATCTATGATCTATATCCTTAACTGCTTTAACATCAACTTTTTAGTGTAAGTATTTCTGAGTAAACTCCAAAAGATACTTCATGATACCGAGATCAAGCATGTGCATTCGATCTGGAACGGTCGCCTCATAAATGTTAAAATCATATCTGTATGAATCGAAAGTTCTTTGGCTTGATTTATATCGATGGTTTCTTTCATTTTTTCTGGAGTTCGTAAATCAACGTAAGTTAACACCATATTATTGAGATCTTCATTGCTTACTAAGCAAAAACCACAAGGTCATTTAGAAGTCGAAGGAAGATATGTAGCAGTAAATGTCGCTGCTTCTGCCATATCAGCGATAATTATCGATATTTTTGGGATGAATAGATGTATTTCGTTTTTTACAACAAAATACATGTCGTTTTGATTCAATATCGGCGATAATAATATTAGAAGGCATCTACGGAAAACTTGCCTCTGTAATTTTTGAAATTCTTTAGAATTTCTTGTCGTATTATCCTTTGCTTTTATTTTCGGGAGATAACCAACAAGGATTTTAGCATCAGATTTATTCCGCAACTAACTTGGAATATTACCTAGCGAAATATAAATTGGATGTTCTGATGTTTTACCAAGATGATCGCACGTAGTTGCATCGGCATAGATAATAATCAATAGTAAATTATTATCAATAGGAATGTTTTTTTCTGTTATTTTTCACCAATCACTATCAAATTGTTCAGCGTAAGTCCTAATCAATGTATTGTCATCTTGACTTCGAAAAACAAAATCCTTATTAATATTGGGCTGAAGAAGTAAAACCTTAATTCTGTGAATTATCGGTTGATAATAGAAATTATAATCTATATCCTTGAAATTTGTGATAGGAACTGTTTTGAATTCATATAAAGAAATTCGTTAACATTAAGGAATTTACGACCTTCCTTGATGCTTTTTGGTAATGGATTTTTATCGATAGAATTTTGTTTATTATTGATCAACTTAATTATTCTATCATCACAAGAATTAGATAAATGGTATTCCATAACGATTTCCATAAATTCTCGGTAAATATCATTTGGCCATTCAGTATTTGGCGGATGCATTTTGTCTGTTGTGGCATCGTCTAATGTAGTCCTACTAAAATTTTCAGGATCGATAACTAATGGAAATGTCAAGTTATCATTGATTTCTTCGTCTGTTTCGTCACCTTTTTCACTTTTCCTATCTGTTTCTACAGGTTGTTCTAATATCATCGGTTCAATATCTTCATTCTGCTTGTCATTTAATATCAAAAATCCAATTAATATTAAATTATTTTCAATATAATAGTTATCATGAACTTACTAGTGTCTGATCCTCAGTTGGTAAATCATTATCCCAAAGACCAGGTTCATCGATTGGTAAATCATCATCCTAAAGACTGGTATCATCATATGGTATGTTTAAACGAGAAGTTTTACCTTCATCTTTAGCAACATATTGATGTTTGTCAGAAATATAACATTTTAAAGCGTAGGAAGTTGCAAAGGTTTGGGAACAATGTAAGCATTTATAAATCATCTTATTTAATGTATCGAGAGTTGTATCGAAAAAATTGTTTAATGAAATTTATTTTCTTTCGATAAGATATTTAATGATTTTTAAAGTAATTCAGAAATTGAATTATTATTATTTAATCGATAAACTACATTGATTTTGATAATTGAATATCGTTTAAATAATACACTTAAACAAATATAGTAATTGCAAACAATTAATTGATTTTAATAATTGAAGAATCACAATTAAATAAACTAAATCGCAAAGTAAATCATTTTAAGTGAGATTCATAACGATTGATATCAAAAATAGCGAAAATATACTATATAAGGGTAACTTTTCTTAAACTTTCTATTAATTTTCCAATTGTGCTTTTTTAACTTTTTTTTTCTCTTGCTTTCTAACAATTTTTTTTCTCTCACTTTCTAACATTTTTTTTTTCTCGCACGCTTTCCAACATTTTTTTTTCTCTCATTTTCTTACATTTTATTTTTCTCTCACTTTCTAACATTTTTTTTCTCGCACGCTTTTTAACTTTTCTTCGCGCTCTCTTTTTAAAATATTAGCGATTTCTTACTCATTCTTTTCAAATTTTCTCATTTTCTCACACTTTTTTTTTAAAAAAAAATGACTTATAAACGTCGGGGAGCCCAATCTTCAGAAACGTCAAACCGAAAATATCATAATTCAGATGAGGAACATAGCGATGAAAGTTCATTAAAAAATACAGAAGGTAATAATAATTTCTACATTATTTACATTATTGTATTAATAAACGTTAAGTATTAATAAATGTTAATACATGTTGAATATTTTATTTTAGTTACAAGAGAGGCAAGAGGTGCAGTACGTGCAAGGGGTCTAAGAAGAAGTAGACGTGTTGAAAAACGTTCTCATAAAACATATTATAGTAGAGAAGAAGAAAAAGAAGAAGAAGAAGAAGGAGTTTTGAATTCTTCTCATCAATCTACCTCTACTACCTCACAACCGTCTTCAACTCAACAATCTAGTACCACTCAACGATCATCATCTCAACAATCGGCCACATCATCAATGATAATTATCGATCCAGTTGACAATAGAGAAATTATCATGAGGAGTCGATCTCATACGCTAATAATAACTCCAGATATCACGTCGCCTACCTCTAATAAGAGACAACAAAGTCGACGCTCAACACCTATAGTTGAACCGCTTATCATAGTTGAACCCGCTCAAAGTCAACATTCAACTTCAATTGTCAGATGAGTTTCATCTGATGATCGTGATCCTCTCAATAATATTGAGACAATGTTAATAAAACAAGGCAAACAACTTCGTGTTTTATATGAAATGCAAAAAATATCGCTTGATAGAATTTCATGGCTTCAGATTCAAGTAAAAAAACTAAACAGCGATAAAAATAATGAGCTTAGTCAAAAAGTATTTAATGTAAGTAATAATTTAGTTTGTATTACATTATCACATTTAGATAGTTATTTATTGCTATATTATATAGGATGGATATAGCGCAGTATGCGCTGAATTTTTTCCAAATAACATGTGGCCAAAGTTAGAGGAATATCAACGATTATTGGAAAAATGGCTAAATTCGAGCTATCCAAATTATATTCACGAATTGGGTGAACCAGAATGGATCAACACCTTTATTGGAAAACATCATTCTCTGGTAATTATTGTCAGTTAATTGTTAATTTTTAAATATTTAATTTTAATTTTATTTTATGATAGCTCATGCGAAAAATGAAAGACATGAGAGGAAGTCATGTCTCAGCAATCCAAAATGCTATTCTCAGAACATTCGGACTGCAAATAAAGAGTAATAGACGTAAAAACTCGAGAGATATCCTGGAATGGAAGCAATCTAAGGAAGTAAAAGACAATTATAACAAATTGTTCACTGATAGGACCATGATAGAAAAAATCACTAGTACCGCATTTCCATCGCTAGATAATGCTAACGATGAAGAATTTAATGATATGTACATCTACACAGCATCTGTATGTGATATTTTATTAAATCTGGATTGTCCCACTCTCGAAGTCATCAAGAAATCGCTAGAATTGCGATTAAAAAGATTTAGGATATTATCGAATTCATTTTGTTATTTAAAAATTAATTTTATTAATCAATGTCAAAATTAGAAAGCGTTTGATAAAAATGGTAAAATTGTGCTTGACGATTCAACATCGATCTTACGTGAAGAAGTGCCCAGCGACAATTATAGCAAAAAGAAAAACAATAAAGATCATGAAGATGATGAGCCATCCGAAGACCAAACAATGTTTGGCGATACAAGTTTTAAATCATACGATAAATTATTTGAATAATAACGGTAATTATTTTAATTCGTTCTATTTATGAATTAAGTTTTAAGTTTAATATCATTCATTTTAATTTTGCGATTTCGTTGCTTTTTGATTTAGGCTTCCGTTTACAGTTATTTTTATCGCTTATTTTTTTGCTTATTTTTTTTTCTTATTAATATCCCTTAACATTATTTTATATAGCAGTATTTTATCGTTATTATAATAAAATTTGTAAAGGATTACATTATTTTATATAGTATTTTATCGTTATATAATAAAATAAATGCATTTATCGTATTAGTTAAATTTCGATTGTATTTCTTATCGTTTAAGTTATTTATCGTTAGCATATTTATTGGTGTTTATCAAATTCGATGCTTATCGTTTAAATATTTATCGATATTTATCATTTAGGTTAAAATCTGATGTTTTATCACTATTTATCCACATCGATATTACTTGATGAGTGTGATTATTATCGATATATATCACATATTATAATTAATGTGATAAATAACGATAAAGAAATATATATCGTTATATATCCCCTGAAAAAATTTCCTGATGATATATAATCTGTATTATATGTTGTATCTTCAAACAAAAAAATATAAAATACAATATCCCTTATACCTTTGATACTGTGGAAGATTAGCTGACTGTTTAGTGTTTTTTTTTCAGAATTTTGATATAAAATATTGGAAAACTTTCATTCTGATCGAAGAATCTTAACTTTCTTTGATCACCTCTTCTTCGTTGCTTATAAGGAACAGCCTTTCATTCTCTTATTACAATTATTTCAGCTGAATCAGATTCTTCAGAAGACTCAGATAAATAGGAGGAACCCTTACCTTTTTTAACAATTATCGAGGGAACTATTTCTTGTATTAAATCGACACAGTCTCTATATCTACATATTCGTCTAGTTCTACATATTCATTCAGATCTTCTAATTCAGTCTCTAAGGACTTTACATCTCTCTCTAATCTTTTTACCCTCTTTTCTAAAGTATTGTGTTGAGAATGATATTCTTCCAATTGTTTCTTTAGTGCCCTATTTTCACCAGAAAATATACTATATACTTCTGCATTTTGCTTATTTAGTCTGAACATCTGGGCTAATTTCTCTGTGTATCTAATAACTTTTTGCTCGCTCGATGCATCAGATAAATGATTTTGATCAGTTATCATTTCTGCGATATTTTATATATGACATATCTTTAGACGAACGAAAAAATAAAATTAATAAATGATATCAGATTGATTTATCAGTCCTTTCGATCTGATCCCTCTAACCCTTATATGTGATTAGTTTTCATCAAAAATGTTGAATGGACTTGTTTGATCATAAGGTTAATCCTGCTTTCTGTAATTGACTATAGTATATCTATCAGATGGAGAAGCATGATTATCAGGTGAATGTCGAAGGGCTTCACTGACATAAGTATTGACTTTTGACAAATTTTTAGGCCTATACATTACGGAAGCAAATACTGTCTCTAATTTGCGCAAAGAACTAGGGAGTAGTGGCTCATAAGGTTTAGAAATATATTTATCTTTCTTTAGAAATGCACTTAAGTATGTTGATCTACGCTTTCCAGGGTCTCTTAACTGTTCAGAAGAAATCGCATTCTAAATCTATATAAGGAGTAGTTTAACCCGCTCCTCATTTTTTTCTAGTGATCTAAATACCTAAGGAATATCCTGTTGGCCTCAGTTTTTTTGCGTACTCAGTTACACCTCCATTTGCTATACGCAAGTTTTTAATTTCAGCAGGATGAATACAGAGCATGATCATTACATCAGCTAGGACCTGTTTATCAGATGTGTTAGACACAATATACAAATCTAGCCATTCCTTAACTGATTCTAACGAGAAGTGGTCTGGATAATGAAGTCCTTCATTTTTACGTTGCTCAGTATGCTCCTGTTAGATTTTATTAGATGCTCTAGTTATCTCCAGAATCTTGGTAGCAGAGATTATTTTTTCTGAAACATTGAGGGTTCACAATTCTCTTCGAAGTCTAGAGAGACGTGATGAGACAACTACAGGATCAAAAGCTGTTTTGACTAAAGTTTTAGATATCGCTTTTACATCTCTTTTACTAAGATTATCCTGAACAATACTTTAAGCTGTTTCTCTAATAGTCTCGCCTTCTAGGACATTCTCATATACTATGTTTATATTAACTTCAGCTTCTAATTCTAGTTCTTCTAGGATCAGTACTTGACTTATATACCGCCCAATTCTTTGGTCAGGAATCAAAGCAAATGCCTACTCTTTGCTAAATTTATACATTTTTTAGAGACAATTACGAGCCTGACACCTTTTCTCTCTATCATCTTTTAAGAGGTTATGCATTTCTGGTGCATACTGACTGAGCTCTTCAATACTCATCTCATTGGTGAGTTAGTGGTCTATAATAAACTTGGTTGCAATTGCAGATATAATGTGATATGTAGAATATATGTGATAGTTAAATTAATCTGTGGTATTCAGATTATATTAAATGAACAAAGTTCAATTCAAAAAAATTATTCCGTAATTTCACTACCTCATGGTTGGTAAAAACTATCAGAGGGTTAGAGAAAATGAAAATATATATAACTTATGAGAGATCTCTTTGAGACTACCTGATCTGATTGGAATATGTTTTGCATATTTAAAAATTGTAGGTTGCTAGGATAAGCGAAAAAAAATAATAATAATTTGAAATTATATATCACCTAGTTGTAAAGAACAAAAAGTCCTATCCCTACCAACACTATTGTCCTGTTTTTATTCACTCTTTACCAAAGCATACCATTCTTCTGAAGTATGCTTATATTTTTTTGCCACTCCTTGTCATCGTAAATATACTCCTAGGGTTTTTTTTACATTCTCAAACTCCTGGAGATATATTTCTTTACTTATTAACCTTTCTCTTATAGTCATATAAAATAAATCGTTTAGGTCCATTTTATTTTTTCTAGCAAATTCTATGACTTTTGCGTTCGCCATCATTCTGTCTCGATACTTCCAAGATATGTTAACGTCTTTTTCTGTAATCGTCATAAACTTATCAGGGTCTTCACCATGGTCGATTGCCCATTTTCTGAGACGCTCTTCTTGCTGGATTCTTTTAGATAATATTTTATTATTACTGGGTTTGGGTCCTTTCAACACATTACTGATATACTCGATAGGCTTAAGGGGTTTGCTAATTTCAGGTTTATTGATTACTGACTCAGATAGTTCAGAAACCTTAGTAATTTCAGATGTTTCAGATATTGAGGCGATTGGAGCTTCAGTTTTTTTTTACCACATAGTCAAAAAGGTCCTGAATTTCCATCCTGTTTATCTACCTTCTTATTTTTACTAATGCTAGGTGAAAGCGTATTCTTTTTTGGATGATACAGGACTGGCACATTGAATATGGGTATATTTGTAATATCATTGGGAAGCACGTCAGCTTGAAGTATATCAGAAAATTCTTCCATTTCACCTAAGCCAGATTCACAAAACTTGGCTATGATTTTAAAGTGATCAAGAATATACTGATATACTTTTATTCTATTATCATGTGAACACGTCTGATTAATGCTAATTAGTGAAAACTTCTTTCCTAGTATAGCACTATTATATGGTTTTTCCTCATTCTCTTCATACCATTTAAGATAATTTTGATATAGTGATGTACAACTTGGTTTGGCTATTTTATCCTCACACTATGAGAAAATATAATTGATTATAAATCAAATAGGAGTAAGAAGCTGATCACGCATTATATCTGATTTCATTTTAGTTACAAGAATTTTTTGTGGTTCAAAATCTGAGATATCACGACTAAGAAGATATTTCATAACTACTTCAAGCACATCGGGATAGTTAAATACATTTCGTAGTCTTTTAAAATATGCTGTATTATCCCTACAGTGTGATGAAATATCGTAACAAACTATATGAAAATTTTTTATATCTATCTTGATCAAAGCATCTTGATTGCTTGTAATCATATACCTAACGAAATCATCTATTCGTTTAGATTTGAGATCCTTGCATTCTATAGTCACCATTCCTTCCGTTATAAGAGATTTGAGATACCCATTAAATCTATACCAGTCCTCACTAGACATTCCAGTCTTATTCATAACAATAAGTTTTCAAGCTTGAATGGCGCTATTAAAAGTCCAAGAATTTTCTCTAAATCTGATGTAGCATAATGGAGATGTCGCCCTAAGACTTTATCACCAATAAAATTAGTGATAATGTTTTTTCCACACTGTTGTAGTATGAATTTTAGGACTAAAATTATTTGAGGTTTCTCTTCTGGCTTCTGTACTAAATATGCCTACCAATCCCAAAGATATTTATAAAGTTTCACATTTCTATCACTGATTATATTTAACGTATGCCAGAGAATCAGATCCATAATTTCTTTATTAATTTTTGGCGCTGGCTTAGCCAAAAATTCTAGGAAAAGATTAAAGAAATCTGTATCTGGCTGGAGAGTATTTATTGAATATGAAAGGAAATTCTAATCTTTATAAATTATTAGACCCTAGTAGCTGCTTGATCTATCAATGACTTTAACTTCATAGATTCACCCCTATATTTGATTATTTTGATCTTGAAATCGGTAAGCTTTAGTTCAACTCCCATATCAAAGTAAAGCTTATTCTGTCTATCTTTATACTTAATGAGCCACAGTTTTAAAGTTCCTTGCACGCAGGTAACTGTTACTTAGATAGCTTCATAAACTTCAGCATGGGAGAATTTTTTACCTAAAGTACACACATATAATAAGTCTTACTATATAAAATGATCATTTGGATTTGAAATTTTGGATCAGTTCTTTTTCATCAGATTTTGAAGCTTTTTCTCTCTATATAAAGTTATTTCGTTAATAGCAAGTTTTAATAAAGGATTTTTTATCTCAAGCTGTTTATCTTGATTGAAATGGTAATAGAAAAAGCTATAAGATTTTTATTTCATCTGATATATACATTATCACTGATATGTAGGGATGGGGCAGTTCCTTA